AAAGGAAGAAAGTGGCGGATTAATTTTGCTTAGTAATTTCTAACAACTCCACTAAACCTAAAAAAGGAAAAAAACAAAACAAACAAACAAAAAACGCCTTACTAGTCAAACCAGTGGCAGTAGCTCTCGCATTGAATCATGTCAAAGTACCTTGACTGTTGGCAGTGATGGTACAACCAAAATCTTCGAACAGTTTTCGGCTGTAACAAGAAAGAGTAAAATGATTTTATAAAACTTCTTCTAAAATTAATGAAGGCTGTTCATCACATGACGCTGTATTGGTACGGGTATATCTCGTTTGCTATTGTTTTACACTACTGTTTTAGACAAGGTATTTATACTACTTAAATTTAAGAAAGAATGAGTAGAACATGAATCACATTTTCTGTAAAGTACACGAGCCATCTTAACCTCAATTGCCAACAGCTTTCCAGGCATCATATGTAGAAAACCTCTTCAATTTTTTCAAATTAGAAAAATTTCAGCTAAAACCGTGGCTCCCAAAATATATCTCTCACCTTGCCTAAAAAATGTTCAAAAGAAATTTTTTAAATTTTCACAACTTTGTCTATTCCTGCTCGTAGGTCCAGCCAAGCCCTTATGGTCGTTGGTCCTCGCAATAGCCGTTAACAATGGCTTATAAATATAGGTGTTTAGTGTTAACATGTAAAACTCTCTGAGGAAGTTTACGACAGTTAGACGGAACGCATCAGAGAATAAAGAAGTTTTACAACTACTGTTCGCACAGCGCTGCTCACTAGTTTAGTTTTTTGTTTTTAAAAACTGTTTAAAAAATTATTAAAAGATTATTGAAAAAAAATTAATAAACGTTCGAGTCGGAGCTATTCCTGTCAGCGGTGAAATACAAGAATGGCTCCAGTCTCTGGTCGTCCACCTGAACTGACTAAATGAGTTTAGTCAGCGGAGCTTGGCAGCGGATGACTTTTTCATCGCCTGAATATCGCTGAACGACCTCGCAGAACAAGAAAGGCTGCCTTCCCTTCACTACGTAAGTAACCATTTCTTGTTTGACACATCGGTGTTTTCACTTGCATTGATATTTCATTGTTCCGCTTCGAGACACGCGGTTAACAATACTCACGGGCAAGGAGTTAAGATATAACTTATTGACTTTTGCTTTTTTTATCATCCAATTACTGGTCGGAGCCATTCTTGTATTTAATCCCTAGTTATGGATCGTGAAGCCGCCATTTTGGATATCCTCAGCGACCACGCAATATTGGCCCCTCCTCTCCCCTCCCCCTTAACCTAGCGTTATGGCTGAGTGCTTGGGTGGGGAAGAGAGAGTTAGGATGTTTCAAGGCTGACGTTTTTTCAAGGACGTTGAAAATCGTGTTAATGACTTTTTAATAAACCCTTTTTAGAGGCATAGAATTGTACGCCAGCGTACTCGTTCGACTCTTACTGATTTTATTTTTGTTTTTGAAAATCTGACCACCGGTTGGCCATAGGGCAGGCCATAGCTGAGTAGGCCACAGGGTAGGCCAGGGTCTGCCCCACGTTTTGTCCACACCCCCCACAGGGTTGTCTGCCTGTGATTTGTCTATGTAAAAAGGCGATGAAAATAAAATCGATACTCACCTTTAAAGTTGTTCGTTGTCGTTGTCGTTTTTCCTTTTCCCTTTAAAAGTAGAGTTGCTTATTTTTCTCTCTTCATTGAATGTTTAGTTTCATCCGCGGTGGTTGCGTAGACAGACACCTGCACATATACGAGGAGCTTAGTTTTTATGATGTCTTTCGAACATCATATACTTCGGCGATATGCTCGATTATATTTCCATGAGGATCTTCTACATATTGCTTAAGCCACAACCACTCCTGTAGGTAGCTACCTAAGAGAGCTCTGGATATTCCTGTACGAGGTATACTTCGTTTGATTCCCCACCGTGTATTTTCAATGCGCTGAGTATGAGCGCCTGTGTCTGGGTCTACGAAGTTTAGGCTGTGGTTCACTGTGAGATGATTGTAGCCCTCGTCCTGTAGGCAATCATAAGCTTTCCACATGTCGCTCATCACGCATATTCCCGGCAATATTTGAGCGTGTATAATGGGTATCAGCGTATCTTTATCCCTGCGCTCTACCGGTACAAGGAAGCAGGCCTTGGTTTCACGGCAAATGCCCCAAAGACCCACTTTCCTTCGACGTAGCGACCGCGGTGAGACATCTCATTTCTTCGTGCAAAATCTAACATGTTTTAAAGGTGAGGAAAATGATTTCAATGTTAATTTTTGGAATTTGAATAAGGTATTAGAAATATAATTTTGAAAGTTACCCTCTATCGGCAAGAAGCACATGTAGAACAATGGTATAGAGGATAGACTGCTAGTCTGACGAAGACGATAGAGAATTGAGAGTTCGAACCCTGCAGGTAACGTAAAAAAAAGAAAAGAGAGGGGCCTTGAAGGGAGGATAGAGAGAGTGAAGTGTCCGCCAGAGAAATGGGGAAGAGAAAGAGGGGAAAATGGAGAGAGAGAGGGAAAAACAGCGCGGAAAGAAACGCCGTGAAAAAAAACCTCTTTTATTAGTGCAGTAAGTAATAATTAGGGATGTATATATTCAATTACCAAGGGAATTGTCTATTATATGCAAAGACAAAGAGTAGAATGCATAATTAATAAGATGTGCATGCATAATGAAGTATGGGGCTGTGCGGAAATTTTACCACGCTGATCTTCGAATCGTCGGCCATATTTGTTTAAGTTCTTGCAGGGAAATGAATTAGTTCTCAGGTCCTTTTCGGAATAAAAATATGCCAGGCATTGAATGCAAATTTAGTCTGACATCATGTCATCGCTCTGCCTCGAAAAATCCCAAAGATTTACTTGCAGGTCTTCTTTTCTTTTTATTTTCATCAAATAGAAGATCTGCGGTGCTCAAATTATATAAGTCATGGTACGAAACACTCTTCTTTGCAGATCAAGCCGTGATCGCCGCTATATTGAATTCTCTTGATATTCTATTGTTCCGGAGTGTAATACGATATACCGCTGATAATTGTTAGCGGGCTCGAAATGTCCTTGATTTCTGGCGATGAGATGATGATGTTATTTGCATCGAGCACTTACAAATGTAATAGTTAAACCATTAATTATAGTAAAAGCAGCATGTGTCGGAAGTCTTCTACGGAGGTGAAAACTCAGAGCAGATTCTTCACTTGTGTTGTGAAAAATGTTTTCTGGGATCTGAGGGAAATTGCATATCATTCCTGTTATCATACTCAAGAACAAAGGTTGTTTTGTACCAGTGACTGCTGACACTGTCAGAATAAAGCTGACATGAAAATTTTGTAAATTATATGGAATATAATAATTTTTTTATTCTTCGAATGGCAAAACTTTAGGCTGGTACGTTGTAATTTGAAGTAAATACTTAAAGTAAGGCAAAATGTGAAGTAGTCATGAATGTGAAAACAATCTTTGCAATAATGATCACTACTTGAGCAGTAGTAAAAATAAGGCTGGAAAAAAATTCAGGCCTGTACAGGATTTGAACTTATGACCTCTGCAATACCAGTGCAGCACTCTACCAACTAAGCTAACAAGCCAACTGGGAGCTGGTCATTATGTTGGTTTCAAGTAAACCCGTGAATGAACGACTGTGAATATATGAAAGTCATATATTTGAACTGTGGATAAAGACATGGATATGACAGCAATCTTTGCAGTAATGAACACTACTTGAGCTGCAGTGAAAATACGCCTACTGCTCAAGTAGTGTTCATTACTGCAAAGAGGCTTGTTATCAACCAGGGACGCTGTGGTGCACAAGTTGTTTTAGAAACACTGACAAAACATTTGCCTTGAGGACTACTTATAAAAGCTAGTAAGGAAAAAAAAACTTCCGATAGTTATATTCAAAGGCTTTTATGTCCTACTGGATATTCATGGTTTACATACTTCACCATTTACATGGTAAACAATAAAGCAAATGATGACATAATTATCACCTTTTTCCATGATCAATAACTTAATTAAGATCAATAACTTAAAAATATTCATGCAAAATGGGGCTGGAGTGCCATGCAAAATTCAGTTAGCATGCCAAGCAGATTCGACAGATGGTCAATGTGATTAACAAGCTATGACAGTTAAATGTCTGCTGCAAAACTTACTACTACTCACAGTTTAATAGCTCAACAGGGAGAGTCAGGAAATTGGTGCACAGACTTGTACAGGCACTATGAGAGTGGGGTCTATCTCTATACAGATCTGATGATGTACAGGCATTTTGTGAGACTTGTGCACCACATCTCCTTTACATTCTCATCAGAACAATAGTGAGTGCAGATGGACATGCCACCAGAAAGGTATTCACATGTACAGCAGCAAAGAATAGTTGCACTACTCCACATAAACGACTGTGAATATATGAAAGTCATTTATTTCAACTGCTGATAAAGATATGAATATGAAAACGATCTTTGCAGTAATGAAAATAAGGCCTAAAAAAAATCTAAGTAGTGTTACTGCTTAAGAAGTGTTCATTATTGCAAAGATTGCTTTCATATTGATGTCTTTATCACAGTTCAAATATATGACTTTCATATATTCACAGTCATTTACTGAGGTCATAGGTTCAAATCCCCAAATTTTTTTGATCATCAGTAAATTAAATCTCAAATTTAAAGTTTTTGGCCTATTTCCGTGTTTTGTTTGCACTTTGATCATCAAAATATCCTCATCCAAAGGGCCAGGAAACTGCACGAGTATCCACAGAGTTAGAAATGGTGGTAAACTTGTCATACTCTTTCATTCCTCTCCAAAAAATGTGACAGAAAGGAGTCGATTGCCCATCATCGTCGTCATTATCATAACTTTATTTGATAAGTAGGTTTAAAAAAATGGCAACTTTACTTCTGATGTGGACCTTCTATAATTTAAGATAAAAGATAAATAAATGTAAAATAAGATAAATAAACCCAGGTTTAAGTCTTAAATAAGAAACAGAATGAGCATAAATACAAATGTGTCATAATATATCAGAAATAGTAGAAATTTGAATTCTTATTATGAACAACAGAGCCACCCCCCTTTCCAAAATTTTTATTTACAACATTATTTTTTGCCTTTTTAAGCCTGTTTTTAAAGGTAATTGGATTGGAAAAGTGTCTTAAATTATCCGGTAATGAATTCCATGCAATTGCTGCCCTGTGTGCAAAAGAACCATGGCCAAGTTCAGTATTAGATCTATCAATTAAAATATTTTGCGATTTTCTAAGATCATAACTAGAAGAGCTCTTAACAACCAAGGAATTTACTTCATTTAAGCCCAAGCCATAAAATGCCGTGTGAGTAATAGTTACAATACGAAACTTATAGAAATACTCAAGAGGCATCCACCCAACTCTTGCCAATACATCATCATCCTTCATACATTTTGGTAACTTATGTATCAGACTAGTAGTTCTAATACGTATCACTTCTAGTTCTCTAAGCTTGGTGCCAGACCCCCATATCACAATTCGATACAAGACACTTGGGATTACTGTCTTAAAGTAAATAGTTTCTAAAATAGATTTGGGCAGAAAACTTATACGTCTCAGCATTTTAACTTTCATGTGGAAGGAAGAACAAGTTAGTTTGATATGCTGAGACCAGGATAATTTGTTGTCGATTGTATCTCCGAGGCACACAGAGGAGGAAACATACCGAATGATGTCGTCGCCCCACTTCAGAGGTTTCATAGGACCTATGAAGGGCATTAACCTAAGTAGCAAACGGTGGGCATTAACATAAGTAGCAAACAGTCTAGGGCCAAGCAAAGATCCTTGAGGAACTCCAACTCTAACAGGTCTTAGACCTGATCTAACGGTATGAACTTGAGTCCTTTGCATACGGTTGGTGAGATCATCGCACACTTCCTCTGAAGAAGAAAAGATTCTCTATCTTCGAAAATTTGCTAATCACATCAGGAAAAACAACAAAGGTCCTCAGCTGCTTGAAGATACCACTGACAAGCATGCGGATTATCCACATATCTATTCCCAGTCTATCTATTGAAATCACGGTCAAACTAAAATGAAGTATAGTACTTCATTTGAGGACATATTGCAAGTGATAATTATCCTCCTTTTGAGAGAGAGATCGTGTTGATTAGTGGGAGCGTACGCAAAAAAAACGAGAGGGGTCTGGCTACGAAAACGACCGTGAAAGGCTTGGAACTGGTGAGAGAGGTGGAAGATCTTGGAAGGGCATAAACCTCAAAAATGGGACTACCTTCTCATATGTTCCTTTTTTCCCAGAATTTTTTCACTGGAACGAACTAAAAAGTCGTGTTCCGTTTACAAACGAAACGGAATCTTCGGAATTTTTTTGTAAATTGTAAACAACTTCTGAAACTTGTCTGTCCTGGTCAAACTCTCAAGGCAGTCTGTAATCTAATACTGGTGAATATGAATTACTCTGTGCACAATTTCGTAAAAGCGAAGAAGAAGAAGATATTCCCGACATTTGCGGACCTCAAAAAGTTACTTATAGCCTGTAACGACTTGGTAGCGACATCAAGGATAACTGAGGATGAAAATGAAGACATCAAGAATATCTCAAGCAAGGTAAGATTGGATGTCGCGTTCAAGCTCCATGATGTTGATGAGAATTGGTAAATTAAATAAAGTTAAACTGGTGTAGATCATACAACCTTGATTGTGGTTGTTTTTTAAGGTGTTTTTGTTATTTATTTTGCTATTACTTGAAAGCTACCTTGATTGATTCATTGATACAGTAATTCAGTATGTTAGAGGTACGTTGTGTAGATGCATGCCAGCTTTTTTTGTTTCCCTGATTATTTCTCCCAGTTTACACAAGACAAATTGTCAAGACACCAATTTTACAATCTTGGCAATGGGCACTGCGACTTAAGTTCGATGTACAACCATGCATTTATTCATGGTGCATCTCACTTTATGAACACCCTAGATACCTGCACTATCACTGTCAATTGTTTCATGTAATTAATTCTTATTAAGTCAGAACTGATTGTAACGTTGTGGCTTTGTATAGCAACAAACGTGTCTTGTAAACATAAACAAACGATACTTTTAATCCATAAGTCGGTTCACTGAAGACTCGAGTACAAGATCGCGAGCACATGTAAAATCTGGCATCCTATTGGATAACAACTATCACTTGACGTTACACTGATTATTGCATTTCTCTCACACAGGTGTCAGGCCATCTGGCTGTGGTCTCAAACATTTTAGAGGTACTATCAAGGGATCAGATGAAGGTGGCATTCATTGGACAAACCAGCGATGGAAAGAGCACCACACTAAATGCCATGTTAGAAGGTGAAATCTCGCCAATGGGAATGGGCTCTACTACAAACTGTGTCTTCATTGTACATGGTTCAGATTCACCAGTTCCATATATTTTGGTGCCAGTCAGTGATGACAAAAAGAATATGGAGGTATGTCTTCTTAAAAAGTATTGTAAGTTTCTCCTTTGTAATAATTATATGTACCATAATCTCCATCCATTTACCCCAGCAGCAAATTACCCACATCAGTCAATTTTTGTAATAAATGGATTAAACCAACTAGAAAATAACCCACACTCGAAAACAAAATAAAATTGTCAACTCACACAAAGTTCCTCCATTGTTTTTGTTGACTGTCATCCAGTCTTGACAAGGATGTATATTTTTCTTATAAACATTTTATGTATAAAATATGATTTATGGTTAATAAATTGTATTTGATTTTTATAGCCTGACAGCCGATAAAGACTTAAACCTCAATCAATCACTCCTACTGTTTAATTCTAAACTAGCAGTATTTCTCTGATGTTTATATGGTTTTAGCAATTAATTTTGATTTAAAATTTGATTTAGAAATATCGCAGGAACCTAAATTATCTTAAAGCAGAAAAATACTTATGAAATAAATTAAATAAGACTCCCATTGATGTATGCGCTATGTAAGTTAACCCTTCGACTCCCAGAAGTGATTAACATGTAACTTCTCTCTATAGTATCCATACGTTATCCAGCAAACAGGTGATGCGATTACTTGAACTTATCAGGTACAAGATATTATCTTGATGGAACACCAAATTCTTGCAACCAATTTTCAATGAAATTTGTAGCAACTAAAGGAGAGAATTAGTAATCAGATCTTAAGTGTCAAAGGGTTAATGAATTGTTAATAATCATGATAATTACCTATTTTTTCTTTTTGTTATAGAGACAGCCATTAATTCAACTGTCTCAAATCTTGTCCAAAGAAAAGCTTGATCCTGGCAGTTTTGTTCAAGTGTTCTTGCCAAAGTCCAGGTTTGATTTTGTTTTGTAATTTTTATATCATTCACATGTACTCATAGGTAACTGTTGTCCCTGTCAATCAAAGTGCATTTACAGTTCAGCCTTGCAAACTTTATTCATTGATTGTAAAAGTAGAATGTAGTTCCCTCTGTTGTACATGAATTGTTCATGTCCAGGTTTATTCCAAAGAGGTTAAGTTTGTCAAAACTTTTTGGCTTCAAATTAATTCTGTTATTATACGTTAGACTTATGAAAGATCTGATTGGTCCAAAGCATTCAATCAGTATACTAAAGCAGAGGAAGTTGACATGATAACCCAATATCTGCAACAGACATTGTGTTTATCATGTGGAGTTCAAAGTCTGCCTAGTTTCCAAGCCCTTACTCTATGAAGTGTTCTCAAACTTGCCTGTGCATTGTTATCACTTGTGATGGTTTCATTTTTGTGAAAAATGTAATTTTTTTTCAACCTCAGATGTAAAATGTTGTCAGAAGGTGTTGTTTTTGTGGATAGATAAGCAAATTAAAAGTGATGAAATATACTGTATAATTGACCTTTTGAGCCCTAAGAATTGAGTTTCTCCTTAAAACTTCACCCTGAATTAAACATTAAGATCAAAAGAATAAAAGAAATGATCGCCAACTATAGAAGCTCTGAACTGTTTGGCAAATTGTCTTTTTCTGCACCTAAGGGAATGTATAGGGATCAGTACAGAGAATATGCATACTAATGTTAGAGTGTGAAGGTTTAAGAAGAAAAAAATGATGAAAGAATAAGAAAACAATGAAAACAATAGGTGAATGAGGCATTTCTCTATTGTGACATGTCCTGTGTCTTCTACACCAAGAAGAAGCCTAAAAATGCTACACAACTGTATGTAAATAGTCTCAGACAACTGTTATTTTAGTCCTGGTATAGGTTTCAAGCCTGATCTTGATCTGTGCATTGAAGAGCACTGTTTGGATGCTGATGTGTTTGTCCTGGTTGCTAATGCTGAGTCAGCGCTTACTTATACGGTATGTTCATGACCATTCATGTGCTATGTGTAAATTTAAGATACAACACATACAAACTTTAAATTTGATTGACTTTTTTGTATATTTCAGTTGCTTTAAAATGTGACTTATTACAGGAAAAATTTATCCAATATGGTAGCATTCATAGATTAAACCTTCCCATGCTTGTGGGGTAATTTCTCATTTGGTACCCATGTCATTTGCAGGAGAAAAACTTCTTTCTCAAAGTGAATCAGCATCTTTCAAGACCAAACATCTTCATTCTGTATAACAGATGTGATGCATGTGCATCAGAGCTGGAGAGAATGAGGCAGGTAAGTAAGCACCTATTTGTCCTTGATGCCCATTCAAATTTGAAATAAAAAGATGTTTAAAATGGAAAAAAAACCACAACATTGTAGTTGCCTTTCATTTCAGATGCTCCCTTTGTAAGAAATTGTTGCTGAAAAAAAAGTACTGATAGATTCATAGTGGGGGTAGGGGAGGGGAGGGGCACTTAGATAGAGGGGAAGGATTAAGGTATGATGATGGATGGGACAATAAACCATTTATCCCACCTCCTCCCCTCCCCTGGACAACAACCCCTTCCCCCCCATATCAGTTGATTGTAATAAAGTGTGATTTTTCAAATTTTTTTACCTGTTTTCCAAAGGTGAAAAAAGAACACCTCAATAGAAGCATCAACTTCCTTGTTGATGAGCTCAAGTATGTAGACAAAGGACAGGCAGAAGACCGAGTGTTTTTTGTCTCAGCTCAAGAGGTAGGCTGCTGGATATTTTATATTGGGGTTTACAAGGACCAGTTGCAAACAACTTTGAACAAGTCTTCGAATTTGTGTTACTGCTATGTAAAGAGAAATATAATACAGGACACATGGATCAATATCAGTATCTGGACAACTGCCCACCTACCCCTCCCCTGACCCAACAACAGTCAATTAATAACAAGTTAGGTGGGTAATTTAGTGTAAACATCTGAGTTGCCCAGATACTGATATTGATCCAGGCACACCTTTTAATTGACTTATTTATTTTCCCACTTTCTTTTCATGTTTCTGTTTTACCAAGACCTTAAAGACCAGAATGCATCATGTGGCTGATCAAATTTTTCATTCTCTTGAAACAGCATGAATTGTTAACAAGTAAGATTTTTATATTAAATCAAGTAAAAAAGTAACTAGCATTGCCATGTTGTTTTTCAGTTGGTACTTTTACTGATGCAGAATTTGCTACTTGACAGAAGGAGTTTGAGAACTTTGAAAGCAAATTTCAGGTATTTTTCCGATAGCTACTTGTCTCTTGGCAGATCACCTATGAACCAAAAGGTGGCATGAGTTGGTTGGTATTCTGTACAGAATTTACCAACTTAGTAAAAGTAGATGAAGATGTAAATGAGATGTTGCTATCAAATATTTTTTTTTTATAGGAGTGTATTACCAAGTCAGCCTTACAAACCAAGTTTGAATCTCATGCAGTCAGTGGATTGACAATTTCAAAAAGTTTGCAGGATCTTATGGAAGTAACAAAAAATTTTTCATGTCAGCAACGGTGAGAGACAGATAATTTTTTTCATTTTACTTTTTAATAGTGATTTTAGCTCATTGTTGGTTTTGCTGAGTTTATATGGTCTATTTTGCTCAGATCTAAAGCAGAGAAAGCCAAGAAGGAGCAAGAGAAGATACTGGAAGATGTGGAGAAAGGAGTTGAAACCTGTAGAAATGACATCGAACGCCAGATTAAGGAAATCACTTCTAAAGTTGAGGATCAGGTAATATAACAACTACTCAGTTTATTCAGCCTTGAGAAACGGTAATTTCAAGTTTTTCACAATGTAAGGTTTCATATCAACTTTGTTGATATGTTTCTCAAATGCTTGTCAGATGTCTTTGATATGCATATCAAATTTACTTTGAAGTGAGGGGTAAAATCTTATTAAGAGTTTGCCTGCATTTTACTGCTATAGTGCCTGAGTACACATAGATATGCACCTAATTTGTAATAAGTATGATGACTTATAGCGGAGTTCGCAGCGCGCGAAGCGTAGCCCCATAGTTATACGAAATAGTAGTAACTCATCAAGCCGAAAAAATTTGGTTGTGCGACTGTACGACCGTACGACCGACCATATAAGGTGCTACTTTTAGCATGCGCAGCCAACTGTAACATGGGCACTATCTAAGTCATTACGTAATGGAAGGGCAGGGAGAAAGTAATGCGCAGGCGCGATTGCGTGAGTAACTTGGATACCCCATTAGTGTGCGCCAGGAGACACCGTCAGATGGCGATAACCTGCGCATACTCGGGCGTAGAGTTGCAGTGTAGCGTACTGCAGGCACACGATTAGGTATTGCACGAGGGCTTCAACTTTCTACGCTAAACAGAGGAGGTTGAAACGTTGGGTAACATGGTACATGGTAACATGGTAACTTCAAGAGAAGATATAAGAGAAGCCCATACGATTCTTGCGTATTGTTTTACTGACTCACTGTGCTCACTGCACGTATACACCTCAATCCATCAGTAATGTCTTTAGGCAAAGTGGTTTACTGTCGTTTCTTTCAATTTTGGCTCATTTTCTCAAACCGAAATTATAAGTCACGCTCAATGGAATATAATTTCAACTGATGCAGACATCATGCCCTTCATCTGAAGAGCTCCGCTTTTAGGCTTGGCCAAATCTATATATTAGTATTAAGGATGAACACAAATCGGGACACAATCTAACATAACTAAACTGTCAGAGTTTTTCTCAATTTCCATACCTAGAGTATTGCTACCACCCCCTGAAATGGGAAGCCAGCCCATCCCATGTTACCTGTTCCCCACCCTGACAGCATTTCTTCATGTTTTCCCGATCCCTTGTTTGTATCCATTTTTACTTTTAGGGCCTTTCTGCACAAGCGAACAAAATTAGAATTGTCCCGAAAAAATCAAAGGACAAATTTTGTTAAATTTCAAAGCCGTTAAATTCCGTAGCACCTGATCTGTTCATAAGACTGGCCAGCATAGTTGCCAAAGGATTCCACCTCCAGTTTCCAGGATTTATTCTAAGTTGTGTTAAAATTTTACAATCCCTGAGTTTTGCAACAAAAGACATTTTTTGCCTTTCTAGTTAATTGATTTCAATTCAATTACACGCTGGTTGTAGCTTTTACGACAAATGATCGACACGTTTATCACGGTTTTGTTTATTCGGTTGATTTTGTCCAGTTTTTACCTGGGACAAATTTTTTCGATGGTGCGTTTGAAGATTTGTCTCCTTCGGCCAGTGAGAAAGTCTGATGTTGCTTACTCGACAAAATGTTTTTCTTTCTTTAGGCGACTGAGGCTATGAGAAAAGAGATTGGTCGACTGGACTTGCTAGTGAATGGGTTTGATTGTCCATTCCATCCTCATCCTAAGTTCCTCGAAACATACAAAAAGGTGAAAATTACATGTGTAGACAGTTTCACTGCCAAGCAACAGCTGCAATGGAAGAATAATCTGAAATTGAACACTATCACTCATTATGTCAATAGGAGCTGTGCGATGTTCTCAAGTGGGGCTTGGGAAGGGAAATGATAACATGTTCAAATACTCAAACTCAAGTGATTTGTAAGGCACAAAACGAAATGGCAGGTCAGTGTTCAGGAACTACTCTATGTTACATGAATGATGTGTGAATATGCATGTGTACGTAACCCCTAAAAATTCTCGAATGAGGATATAGTGAATTGCCGGAATTATCTGGGGATAACTAGTTGATTCAATACTAAATTCTCTGAACTAACATTGTAAGAGTTGTATGGTTGATAGTAAAGAGAATTACAAATTTGATCTGGGGGTGAAAGGGTTAAAACACCTTCTGCCACTTTGATGTTTCTAATCGCAAGTCACGCTTGCATTGTTTTGCACAAGGATTTTGATAGCTTCTTTTCAAACCTGTCAATTATGTTATCCCGCCGCATCAACCAGAAGTGCCATTCGTGGGCAGAGAGATTTTTCAAGAGCTAGGATTCGTATACTAGCCTTCCTTCCCTCCTCTCCCCACCCCACCCCCATCCTGCGACCCTTTTACTCTCATCCCGCCACATGTCGCGCGGTTAGGATATTAAAAAGTTCTTCTTTCGTACTGGAACGTTTATTCTGGAGAATATGCCCAAGGGTAGCAAAATAACTGAGGTAGAGTAATAACTTATGGTACATCATGAGGTCACTCATATGGTAGGGGGAAAAAGGAGGGGGGGGGGGGAAGAAGCTAATATTAAAGAGGAATGAGTCCTTTGGGACCAGTTATTAATTTTGGCCGCAGGGGGGGGGGAGGATTTAGGGGAGGATCACATTGTTTTCAGGGAGGACAGGGGGGGGGGGGTCAGTCGTCAGCGACAGAGTATAAAGTGGGACTGTAGAAAATTGACTGCCAACGTCAATTTACTACCAACGAGGGGGGAAGGGAAATCATAAAGATATGACAGTACCTTATCAGGGGATCTAGTAAATTTTATTGTAACACGAACGACATCCTCCGACCTCACCCCCACCCCCTCAGATGAGAAGTAATGACCGTTCCCTTAAGTATATATAAATATATTTTTTACTTTTTTTCCCAGATCGCCTTAGTAGGGTTCTTCCGCAAATAAAAACAGAGGCATCTCTTCACCTCGTCACTTCAGCGTGAGTATTGTGTTCCTTAGCTCATATATTGTTCTCCTCACATTTCCTAAGGTGCTGATAAGGAGAATTTGTCAAACAATCAAGAGATTCTTTAGTTGGCGTTCATCTCCTTAATCCTCGTGACCTGAATGTGTGATTCTAGGGTGAATATCTACTGACTCGGTATAATAAGAACTCAGGACTACTGGCCTTAGGAAACCAGGAAACAGACAACCAAGAGGAGGAATGAATAAACATTCCTTTTTTAGCTCATTCATGCTGGAAGCAATGAATGAGGTCTTGTGGTGAAGCAGATGTCGACCGTGGACGGAAGTCGCATTGCAGACTGTGAACGGAAGTAGTCTCGCATGCTAACCCTCCCCACTTAATGAAATTAAAAATTAATTTCGATGAAGCTCAGAAACGAACGTGAAAAAGAAATAAAATTTTTGTATGGTTTTAATAATAACCTCAAATCAAATTTCCGAACCTATAAAAATGCAACTTGAATCGAGAAGACTAGGCACAAAATGCATACTACAGCCTGCAGACTGGTTATGCACTAGTTAATGTAAACCCCCGCACCCTTTCCTTCTCCCCATTCCCGGCCGGGACATAGCGGGACATTTGACAAGCGTTCACTTCTAAAGTTGTAAAATGCCCCGTACTCCAAGGTCAGGTTTTTCCTCTAATTGAAGCTAACGACCCCGCTTACATCCCCAGCTCTTTACATTGACTGGTGCATTACAAAATACAGACTGAGAATTTCAGTATACTGTTTTTTCGTCTGTTACGTGGTAACGGGTTGTCATCTTACAACTAACCGAGCGTCACGCAATCGTTTTTCCGCGATCATCATTCACAATCGTTCTTAACATAATTTCAAGCCTTCATATAGTCCTCTCACTTTGCGCGCGAGTTGGTTGGTATCATCTTTTTAACCCATATGTCTTCATTTTGTGAGCAAAAATGCGAACCGAGACCAAAACTACCTTTTAATTGATATATTTTCAACGTTCAGGAGTGTACACACACTGATTTTCACATATGTGCCTTGTAATGTTAATGGTTTACATGAGGAAGAGGCAAATTTTTATAGGGAAAAACGAAGCGTTACTTTCGTGACTGGCCATTTTTTTTTTATTTTTCTATGATTTTATCTCACATCTGTTTGGTGACTACGCAAATATTAATATGTGAAAACCAGACTTTAAGGCTTGAAATTCTGTTAAGAACAATTGTGGCCGCTTTGTTAAAAACCAAATGCAATGGCCGCTTTGTTAAAAACAAAAGATACCAAGAAACAGGCAAGGAATATTTCATAATAGTGAAAATGATCATTGATGAGGGTTACTAATATTTTGCTGCTAAAGCAACATTTGATGCCTGATTATGCCCACCCAGCCTACCCTCCGCCCCACAAACACATACACCAACAAAAAGGACACTGTCTGCCTAATGACCCTGGCCCATCCCACCTCCAGCCCACAGAACCTTTTTTCCAATTCCCATCACGACAAATGCACAAGTTTTCTTATCACACAACTGCCCAAAATAGAAGAAAATTTATTCCATAAATCTTGGATGTTCACATAAACCGAATTCAACTGTACCTATATTCAACAAGTCCAAGAAATCAGCACAAACTTAAGCTATAACATGAATGAGCGGGCTCCAAGAGCCCTTTGATCTTGTAACTAATTTCTTTATCGTGTTTGTTTACTGTAGTCTTGATTTCCAAGCGAACCTCGAACCGATTGTGACCAGCCTGTGCACTGATTTTCAGGAAGATGTGAAGTTTCGCCTCTCTCTTGTCTGGCGAGCGATTTTGAGGAATCTCTTGGGGTCTGAACGATTCAACGACTGGGGAGCGAAGGTAAGAACACTTTAGTAATGGAATAACAAGCGATGAAAAAAAATTAGCCTAGTCAGGGAAGAGTTAAGGTTGAAGGAGCACATGAAGAGCATTAATATTTTTGTTATAACTTTCGAAAGGAAACTGTTTAATGTAATTCTATTTCAAACGAGGGAAATGGCTGAAAGCCATTTCTGTGTTGTTTTTTTTTTTGGGTGCTCGACCGCCGAAAAACACAATATGGATGAACTGTACTCTAGAATGATTAAAACGCTTACTCCATTTCATTTTAAGTTAGGAAAAGAAAAGAAAAAGGCGATTGTTTTGTAGCTGATCACTTTAAAATAAGTTATAACGTTCCCAGCGTAACTAGGAAAACACATGCTTCTGAAGAAGGTTAGAGAAAAAAAGAGGAAAAGGAAGAGAAGGAAAACTTGCTTTCACTTGGGATCGATCCTCAAATTTTCGCTTAAGAGGTGAAGTGCAATCCATAGCGCCACAGGTTGGATGCATATGTCGCCCCTCGATAATTTATGTTCGAACTTTAGTGGCTTATGGTAACTTCGGTTTTGTTTAAGATTCAGCGAAATATGGAGAGCTTGGGATCTATCCGACTAGTTGTGTTGCAAGGGTCAGCTTTAATAATGGCACTCATTGCTGCACTGTTAATCATAAATGAAGGACTGGTAAGGATTAAAATATTGTATTGATTCAGAGAACCTGAGGCATGAAACACGGCGGTCAAACGTCGGGCATGCGCGAGGGGATCAATTCGGGCCGGCCGAGCTTCAATTTCACGCGTAAAGTTTCAAATGAAGACATAAGAAACGACTGCTGTCTTGCAAAGTAAGCGAAAGAGAATCGAAACCATTTTAGAAATCTTCTAAAGGAAACAGAAGCAGGGAAAAGGAAAGAGCGAGACTTTACTAACACTAAGCTTTTTCAAGTACTGGTATCCTGTCGATTTACGATTTTGAGCTTTACCAAAAGAAAATGCTTTTGAAGTACTATAACTCACTGGCTTGTGTGGTTGTCGGTAACTCACTCGTGTGAGACAACTCGTATTTGACAGCCTCAAAGCGCACCAACCTGTCATGACAACTTTCGTACATGCGTATACGTTTGACCGCTGTACAGACATGGCTGCATCTATTAAAAATGTGATTTGAGTTTCACGCAACATTACAGATGTATGTATGCCTACACGAAGCGTCCATTTCAATTCGTGTTTCTCCAACTGCAGATTCGGAGGACTATAGGATGGTGGTTTATGGCTTTTTGTGTTGGGTTATACTGTGTAGTGTACGTAATTGCAAGGGCATTTTGGACCGCTGGTGCTAAAGAGAAAGCTTTCAAACGACAATTTGTGAATTACGCTACTGAAAAGCTTCAGTCACAAGTCAACATCATTAGTGCTAAGTGCAGTGGACAAGTGCAACAGTAAGTTTGGCTGCCATGTGATTTCTGAAGCGTCTTTGATGTGATTGTTGGTTACACTTTCTTTTACCCACAAAGCCTTGTGTTTTGTTTTTATTTCAATTTTTGTCTCGTGGTCTGGCTAAGCAGACAAGGTGTCATTCATTTGACACATTAGGTCGCACATCGTTCAATAGTCGCGAATTTTCACGCGGTTTACACTTGCTGTCTTTCCACTCAGACTAGGTGTCATACTTTTGACCAATCAGGTTACAAAAAGTAAAACAGACGCTAATATTCCCGCGCTTTACGCTCGGTGCCAAACATTGATTTGCTCATCAGTTGGTTTCTGCCGCGTAACAGCCCCATTTTGAGACCCTAAGAGACGGGCTAAAAAAAACATATCAGTGCATAGTTAAACACCAAGGAGGTCACCGATTGCCTCAAACCCGCGGGTTTTGATCTTTTCCACATTTTGCGTAGTTCATGACCCGATATTTCAACGAAAATTATTGAGAAGGCCCCTTCCGATTACCTTTGTTTACTTTGTAAGTCAGGCAAGCGCGCAAGCGTTACGACCGATCACGTTTACACAACGTTTTAGGACGACTCGGCATCTATTCTCCATTCAGTTTTTATGAAAACCAAAAATCGTCAACGTAGAAAGTAAACAAACGAAGTTTGAACGGTCAAAAGGAGATCTTGGTCAATTTTCAGAATTATGCAAATAATCTTTGACATGAGCTCAGTTGAGAAAATACATGGATTTCCGTTGTTTTTAAGATGTTAGTGGACGAATGTTAGAGGTATACCCGCGGGTTTGAGGCAATTGGTGATCTCAATGGTGTATAACTATGCAACGAAATGATTTTGTAGCCCAATTAACGCCTGCATTTTGAGAATTCTTTCGTAAAAGTTGGTGAACTTTTGATATGCTAATTAAGGCCAAAGAGAAGGGTCTCCTCTGATCATGCTGGTATGAAATATATTCCAGGTGAATTTTCCATATTTTGTCTGTGAACTAACTGAATACATATTTTAACTTGTGGAAAGACAGAATTCTGTGAGCTATATTATTGTAGTCGTTGGGCGCGGGACAAAATTTGTGAAATTTGCACTTTCGATCTCTGTCCACAGGGTTAGTCCAACTAAAAATCGTTTTTGGCTTGTGGCGACGCAAAAGAAAAGAATTGGAGAACAGCTAAACTATTTTTTATACATGTGTCCGAAACCCTTTTCGTGGGCAAAAAATAAAAGGAAACTTGATTTGGACGGAGGATTACTGCATATTAATTCCTCTAGTTTATGATATGCGGCTTAGCGGTGAGATGCATAATGCCAAATCCCCGATTATTTTGAAAACTGGTTATTACTGCAGATAAAGAAACATTTCACTTTATTTTATTTCAGAGAATTGACGTCAACCCTCGCGAAGCTCGAGTCTCCGGTTCAGAGAGAAGTGGAAAATTTGAAAAAAAAAATCAACAAACTGGGTCAAGAAATTACAGGACTAGAGGAAACCGAAAACAAATTGACAACATTAAGGTAATTCTGTGCTACGTATCAGCAATCAATTAATGACAACAGCTGTAGGGAAGGGGAAAAAACTAACAGTGACATGGGGGTGTTGTGGAGAAAAATTCTTTCTTCTGAATCCAAATGTATCATTACCTCCCTCTTCACATTGGGTTGGCATTCTCTCTGTGGGGATTGGGGGATTAGCCTCTACCCCCCTTCACAGACAACCTCGTCATCCTAAGAAATAGGAGTATCGTTTGTGAACAGAAGCATGGGGAGTGTGCAGCATCAGAAGTTTTAAGTGAGCTCGCTTTCTGTCCTTAGGAACAAAGCAAGTCGGTTGAAAAGGGAACTGTCCCAATTCACCACCGAGTTTGGTTTGGAAAAGAGCAAGATTTGAAACTGTTCGTATGCAATGCGAACAGTTTTTCCTGACTAAATAACACAGATGCTTCCCTACAAAATATAATTAGATATGAATCTGTTTATCTTATTTTAAGAGATTTATTTAAAATACAAATGGATAGTTAACGACTGTTAGGACGCCTAAATGTTTTTGTCTTTTTACGTCCGGCAGACGGACTGGAAAATTACAGATTGGTCAGGATTTATTGTGTACGTAACTAATGAGATTAAAGGTTAATTATAGTGTTATCAACTAAGTTGACAACCTAAAATTAATCGTTTGAAATAAATAGGAGTGGTCTGTTTGTGTTAAGGAGAACGGTTTATCTTATTTTAAGAGATATATAAGAGATTTATTTAAAATACAACTGGATAATTAACGACTGGGACGCTTACATGTTTCCGTCTTTTTACATCCGAAAAAAGTGGTTTAATTGTCCTAAGGAGAACGATTTACCTTATTTTAAAAGATTTATTTATAATAAAAATGGACAAGTAGCCTTTGGGGAAATGAAATATTCAAATAAAAATGGTTTATGCAATTCAGAAACTATGTAGCCACCCTTGTTGAACCAGGAGCCCATTCAATAAAAACACGAGTGGCCAAGTGTTTGCTGAAATGGTTCAGTGTCGAAAGTCTGCAATGGATCAGCGTGCTGTGACATTCATTGTCATGCCAAACGGTCCAGCTAACTGTACTCTGGTTCAATGACTTGATACAAACAGTTCAATAGCTTAATGATCAGTTTGTGAAAATAAAAGTAAGCTTAAGCTTATATTTCACAATAATATATTTTCCTATCGTTTCAAACCATATGTTTTTTTCGTGGGCCATTTAATAAAACCTGCAGTTAAGCGTTAACCTCGCGTTTGCATCAGCACTTGAGTTTTAAGAGGATATTTTTTGGTCGCTCTTTTCTTCGATTTTTATCTTGTGCATAAGGTATTCAACACGGTTGTTTCCCACTGCAAGGCTGGGCCAATTCACGTGGGTTCAAGGCAGCAATTTGTAGCTGCACCGAGAGAGGTCCTACCTGTTTTAGAGGCCAGTGGCGAGGAAAAAAAAGGGTCTGTAAAAACAGTCGCCAAAAAATAGGCGCGAAATAAAAGTCGCCAAAAAAAAGTCGCCGAAAAAAAGTCGCGACAAAAACAGTCGCGAAAAAAAGGGACCGTAAAAAATGTCGCGAGAAAAAGAGACTGTAAATAGTTACAAGAAAGCGCGTGCACCTACAAGCTTTACGGTGTGCCCCAGTTTTCTTCTTCCCTGGGCGCGCTTTAACTATTCATCAAGCGCGTTCACCAACAGGCTTTACAAACAGGTTTTACAGTGTGCCTTCGCGCATTCGTGAAATTTGCTTTGGAGTTCGAGGTTCGAGTACTATCTGAATATGAACTATAGCGAACGTGCTTTCCAGAGGACGGTCGTGTTGTTGGAGAAAAGAAGGAATGCTGTTCCTGTAAATGCAGAGATGAGTAGATTAGTTAACGCAAGGCGGGCGATGAACACCGCCTTTACCAAAAATCACACTGCCTCTCCGATTGGCGACGTACTTTGCAGCACTTTCCTTCCTTGACTGAAAAAGACCTGAGTGGATGAGTCGTAGCCGTGTTAGTCATGTGACACGGCCAAGTCACATGTGAAGGTTCTATTGAATTGATGATGCCTACCGCTAATTGTCCTAAAATGTTCATACAAGTGCCGTGACACTTGGGGGAGACTAACGAGACTGTTCTTCTCCTGACCAGGGACGAGGCTCCTTTAGAGCCGGAACACTTGGGGGGAGACTGACAAGAATATTCTCCTCCTAGTAAATGAATAGGTTCTGGTTTTTTCAGACTGTTTGTATACGATTGGATTATTGGATGCCCTGAAAATAATATAGAAAATTATCTGAAAAAGGCTTTGGAGCAAAGGAATAAAGAAACCCATTTTAAAATTTAACCCTGGGTTAGTGCTTAGATGAGGCTTCGAACAACTGGATCCAGGAAGAGAAATTCCTAGTAGTACTCTTTGATTTATTGTGCCCAAAAATCATAAGTGCTGCAGGAGTGGTGTTTAATTTGAGCATGCAGAAAGATTTGAGGCAAGTCGCAGAGGTTTGCTAGGGATCTGGCATTAGTAATGCTCATTATCAGTGCTAGACCCTTGCAGACCTGATGGCCGAAAGCATTCCTCAAGGCCTCATATCTTTCTGCAGGTGAAGAAATGTCTATGCCGAAGCAACAAAAATGAGGGTCTGCTCACAGGCTAACAGTTAATTTCTGCTTTAAAAACTCATTCCCTGCAAAACGTTGACCTTAAGGTTACAGTATGGTTTAGCTCAGATTGTTAATTACAAATAATCAAACAGTAACAAAACTTGTTACTGCATTACCTTTTTGTTAATAGCAATCAAGGCCATTTGAAATGGTTTAGTAGCTGTTCTTGCTTTTTGCTGGGCTTCTTTGATCACTAACTCACAAGATTCTTGTGGAGAATGGCCCTGGTTGAAAGAAAGTGCTAATTGTGATTCACTTAGCTGGGGAAAGGGAAAGATTATCCCCTTAATATGTAAGATTTTACGCCAGTAACTAACGGCATAATTTCTTCCAGTCGGATATATATATATATATATATATATATTTTCTCCAACAACACGACTGTCCTCTG